CAATTGTATATGAATGTTAATTTATTTAGGAGAAAAGATATTGCTCCAATCAATTCCACATTTTCCATATCTACTAGGATAGCATAGCCCATATGTCACAGTAAAGTTATTTAGACATCTAGATAATAAACTTCGAAAACTTTCAATCAATATTCTGAATGAAAATAAAATTAAAAAACAAAAATCAAAGATAAAAACTTTTTTATTTCATAGGAAACAGTGGCTGTAAATATTTTTGTATTCGGCTGAATTAGCCCATTCGAACTTAATGGATTCAGTCGATGCCTTTGTGTAGTGCAGGTTTAGGCTTGGGTTCACTGAACGTTCAAGATGATTTGAACGAGGGGGGAGTTTGGAGCTGATGGCACGGCGGGGTCTATGATAGCAGGTCCAATAGAAATTGGCTCGTAGTTATCGACGATGGCAGGTCCGACGTGAATGGGCTCATTGCCAATGATTGCAGGTCCAACGTGGATAGGCTCCTTGTCAATGATAGCGGGTCCAACGTGGATTGGCTCATAACCGTCAATTATTGCAGGTCCAACGTGAATAGGCTCCTTGTCAATGATAGCGGGTCCAACGTGGATTGGCTCATAACCGTCAATTATTGCAGGTCCAACGTGAATAGGCTCCTTGTCAATGATGGCGGGTCCAACGTGGATTGGCTCATAACCGTCAATGATGGCGGGTCCAACGTGGATTGGCTCATAACCGTCAATGATGGCGGGTCCAACGTGAATCGGCGCCGTGTCAATGATAGCGGGTCCAACGTGGATTGGCTCATAACCATCAATTATTGCTGGTCCAACGTGAATAGGCTCCTTGTCAATGATGGCGGGTCCAACGTGGATTGGCTCATAACCATCAATTATTGCAGGTCCAACGTGAATAGGCTCCTTGTCAATGATGGCGGGTCCAACGTGGATTGGCTCATAACCGTCAATGATTGCGGGTCCAACGTGAATCGGCTCATAACCGTCAATGATGGCGGGTCCAACGTGAATCGGCGCCGTGTCAATGATAGCGGGTCCAACGTGGATTGGCTCATAACCATCAATTATTGCAGGTCCAATGTGGATAGGTTCAGGCTTGGCAACACCGAGGACTTCGAGGAGCAGCTGCTCGAGGGCGGCGGCGGTGGCGGGGTCGGTGTTCGGACTCTGAATGGAGGCCAGGATCTCCTGCACCTCGGGGTTGGTACTGGCCACTACCGAAGGCGGAATGATCCGGGCAGACGCCGCGGCGAAAATAGCGAACACGATCAGGAACTTCATGAGACTTCTATAAAAACATATAATCATAAATAAAGTAGAAAAATTAATATTAACTTTAAGAATCAACTCGAGTTGGTAATTTAACTAAGTGCCACTCAAAAAAAAAGTTGGAAAAGCAATTAACCAACAACTTTTCTTTAATATAATAAAATTTTATAACTTACATTTATGCGTAATACTTAAATGGAAAGAAAGTTAAGTGTATAAAATGCTTAGTACTTACTTTTTAAGCTTTGAGATGATTCGATAAACTATGTCCAGTTGAAGTTTTCTTGTTGTATTTATAGCAATAATTTTATCTGTAGATCCATTTAATCCCGAAAATTAGATTAATGCGGCATTACTATATGTTTTCTGTTACTTATTTATCTGTGTTTCGTGGGGTAAGTTATTGGCGGAGTTTTTACTTTTTTCTTTCTTTTTTTCCATTAAATCTGTTCATTCAACTACACTTCTTAATGCTGGTCTCTACCAAAAGGCTACATAGTTACTAACAAAATAGTATCTGACCGATATACGACAATTGATATATCAATACGCAGCTTAAATAACTAGAATTTAAGGCTTTAAATTATGCACAGATTTGTGGAAAATCCCTTATTAACTTCTGCTCGGTCTAGTTTGTTTGGAAAATAATTATTTTATCTCACCAGAAATACCTGTGATGCTTCTCAGTGCAAATAATTAATTTTTTAACCAATTTTTGTAGACTTCTTTCACTTTTCGTCCTTTTCTTATAAAGAAGGTTGGTGAAGAGAATTTGACGCATAGGAAGGAGAAATATTCTCTAGCTGTGCGTCTCCTCATCGTCGGTTAAGGTTAGGCAACGCATCTGCAATTGCGGATGGCTATGAGCAGCAGTCACTGCGCTATTTCGGTGAATTAAGGTAGCAGTTCTCTCGTTTGCCACCTTATGGCATAAAAAAAACCTCTTTCGCAAAAAGCCCTGGCCGGATGGCCATCCGGCGGTAAATTAGGTCAATTGGTGGTCGCCTTTTTCCCGCTTCTTTCATAATAAATGCGTCGTCAGGCCATATAATATGTTACTCCTGAAGGGTCCGCAGCCTACCCAATTCATTTTTTCAAGATTCAACATATTTTTTTCCATGGCTGGCTGTCGCCCGCGGCTCCGTGCGCGCGGGATTAAAAAAGTAGCCTATGTGTCAGACTTTGCATGTATCCATCCAAATATTCACATTTACAATACTAGTAAGATATAAAATTCTCCTGGTTACGTGCTGGTTTTAATTCATTAGATATTAGTATTATTTCTGAAAGGAAAATAAAAGAAGTTGTTGTTTTTATGGAGGGGGGTCATTATTTATAAACCCAATTGCTAAATTGGCTGCTAATAATCCAAATTTTGTTGCGCTATTAGTACATCTCGATAAAGAAAACATGTTGAATAAACAAAATCATAAATTATGCTTTAAAATTGCCCTTCGAATCACCGCAAATTTTATAATATTTGGATGAAAACTTTATCCAATTTAATTTAATCACTTAACTTTTATCTCCGCGATATAAGCCATGGATTAACTGAAAGTCGTAAATTAAAATCGAAAATTCACTTTTTGTTGTTTATTGTAGTCTTGTTTAGTCATGGTGGATTTGTTTTTTTTTGTTGTGTAAAATTGAGCATAAAGCTTATAAGCTTATAACATTTTATGTAACCCTCGTTCTTTTTCTCCTAAATTGAACGATGTTGAAATGTAAATAATAACGATTTGCTTGTTAACGAAATAAGAGTATCCAGTTTTTAATAAAGAATTAAAATTATACTCATTTTGTAAAAAATTGTAACATGTTTTTTTTCAATTGTATACTTAGTGGTATGAGCTGATAAGGGGGCCTGTTAATCCATCACACACGTTGGTCACCAGTTCCCTGCACATAGGGGGAAAACAATAAAGCTATTTATTGTTTTATTATTAAAATTAAATCAGTAACGCAAAAGTTTCAGTATAGTTTACTTAAACTAGCTTATTAATAACGATTAATAAATTTTCTATAATCTTTAAAAAAGTTGCGAGTGACATTCCAGTGGCACCTGTCACTGTCAAATTTTGGTTAAGTTTACCTTGTCAAATATAGACGAGATACATAACCTTTATTTTACAGAAAAACTAACAAACGTTAAAGTGAAAATATATAAAAATGAGGTTAAATACCGTACTATTTTCGGCACCATTTAATAAGTCCGCCAGAGCACCGCAAAGAGAACCTGTTCCGTTTCAAATGCTTTTACCGCTTAAGTTAAAGAAAACTGTATCAGGGAAAGGAGATAATCTAAAAGAAGCAGCTTGCATGCAAGAGATTTCAGTAATGTTTGCGTGCTTTAAGAAACATGACTTCGATCAGCAAGAATGTATGAAAGAAATCACCGCTTTTCAAGGTTGTTACCGTGACTACAGTCAGAAACTTGCAACCCAAAGAGAGCAAGGAAAAAAAGGTATCTTAGTACCCGGAGAGAGGAAGCTAACACACAGACAATTGAATCAACTACTTAAAGCTTTTCCACCAAAAAAATAGTATGTTATTGTTTTGTTAGTTTTAAAATAGTATAGTGTAAATAAATATTTATAAAACAGTGGCTGTTTGTTTCAAAACTCATTTTTAGTTCAGCATACTCTTACATAACTACATTAAAAAACTACCAAAGTATTTTTAATTTATTTTCAATCAAATTGAATGTCAATAAAACAATATATAAAAATAAAAGATTCTGTAATTTGTCAATTATGTTTAAAATATCAATATGTCAAATGGTTTGTAATGTAAATGTATAATTTTAAAATAGCACATAATTATCACTTTGGGGCAGTGTGAATCCATTGTGGTGAGGATACTTGAAGCTCGATACGGCGCACTGTTATCAATTCATCATCAATTTCATGCACATTGTAAAATCTCTCCAATTCCTCAATTGCTTTATCTTCAAGCTGAAAATATAAAAATAAAAAAAATGTAGATGTGACTTCTTACAACTCCGTAATTCTCAAATTGAAATGCAAAAAATTAAACCTAAATTATATTTTGATACCTGTGTTAGTGCTAAAGGTTTTGTCATAATTCTAGAGAAGTCATCTTTCTGCTTCTTTTGATCAGCCAAAATCTGATTGAACTGTATGGCTTTGGTTTTTGGGCTACTACTGGCTATGGGAGCCTCACAAATTTTCCATGGATTTTTTGGCTTGTCTGGTGGACTTCCTAGGTTTAATTTATTAGATAAGTAATTATCCAAGTTTTGAGGTGTTGTTACATCATTGCCTTCCATGGCCAATTTCTTCCTTTGCTTTTGAGAGAGTTTTGGTCCAATATGATTAACAACTAAATTGCATTGTGGACTCCAATTTAACTCTGGGAATGAAGATTCCTTAGGAGATTCAGACATACGAGAAGTACTAGGGCCATGATTATCTTTGATCGGAGTCATAGCATTCGAAGAGTTACTCTTTGTTAGTTTTATAAATGATTCAGTTGGAGTTTCGTTGAGAATTTCTTTAGCGGTTGTGATTGCTTTGAGTCTTGCTTGAATGACTTTTTGTTGCTTTTGTTGAGAAGACGGAACTTCTATCCATTTGTCCTTCTTTTCAATTTGCTTCTTCTCATTCTCTTTCCCAATAGAACTTAAAGAAAGAGTCACATCTCCAGAGGTATCATAGGAGAGGTCTAGAGATGTTACAGAACTTACTGATTCATATCTCATTCTAGCTTTCTCACTCTCTGTATATTCAATTTTTTTAGATTGTTTAGATTTTCTCTTATTGACCTCTATAATGCTGTCATCTTTCTTCAATTCCTCATCAATAACACTTAGATCGACGGGTGAATTCTTTGCGAATTCATCGACAACTTCATCATTAGGACTGTTAAAGAAAGGTGTTATGACCCGAGAAGACATTATAGGATTGAATTTGCAGTAATAATTTGATATGTCTTCTAATAGATTATGCTCTAATAAATCAAGTGAACGATTTTCTAGTATATTGCACATATTAAGGCTAATAAATTCCATACAACATTGTTTAAGTTGTGTGGCGTTGTATGTGTGAGCGAACTGGCAGAGTTCGGCACAGTTTTTCAATGTTATCAGACTTGCTAATGTTACTTCACACATTTCTCTAAGTCTAGTTATAAACAGTTGGTCCGCTACTATAAGCATACTGCAAATAAAGTCAATGCTGTCTGAATTTTCAATTTCCGGACAGGAATCTGTATAGAGGAAGTTAATAACTGGCAATAGAATGCCATAGTTTATTGGTAGAGTTACCGTGGACATCACTTTGCTCTATAAAAAATAAATAATTTGCATTAGTATTATAAAAAAACTCACAACTAGAATAGCATTCATTTATTTATACAATGAGGCTCAAAAGAAGTACGTATTTAAATGTATCTTACTAATATTTTAAATGCGAATGTTTAGATGGATATTTGTTTGAAGGTATCTCTAGAACGGCTGTCCGGATCTCAATAAAATTTGGCATACATATAGAACAAAGTCTGGAAGAACACATAGGCTACTAATTATGTTTTTTTAATACCGCGTTGACTGACTTATGCACTTAGAAGACTTTACGAGTCAGATAAGGTAGCATCTTAATTAGACAAAAGTCTGATTATTTCCGAACGACCTGTGTATTATAAAATGCATATTATACATGGTGTTTATTACCTCAGTCCAGGAATGCATGAACATTCCATTGAAGTACTCAAGGCGGGCTGCCAGCACACACTTGTGTGCGGGTATGAGTGTTCCATCCTTGCAGCCAACGTTGGTGTCCACCAGCTCTGGGAACGACTCGCGGTCGTATGGAGGTGGACTTTTCTTTGTATTTGTTGCGCTATCTTTAAGATGTATTATTCCATCCCTGTAACTTTAAAAATAAAATTTTATTGTATTAAAGTATGTGCATTATGTTACTAATCGTGGGATTCTGAGGTCAAAATCCCCGTTTAACACATTGTTAGCTCTGTTTTGACAAAGATAATAACAGGGATGCTTATTTATTCAGAAATTGGTCTCAGAAGCCAACGGTAAATGTTTCAAGTTTTCATTTGATATAAAATTAAATATCTCATTCAGAAGGCGCTTTATAGAAACAATGTCCTTTTTATGTTATTTAATATTTTTTCACATTGTTTCTGCGAAATACATGAGCAAAAATGTCATCAGAGAGATTCTCTTTGCCTAACAAAGATAACATGTTTCTATACATACGTTTGAGCAGTGAAAACACATTAAGAGAAAAACTTACTAATATTTATCAAGTAGTTTATGTAATCCCATAACTTTGAGTCGTTTTGCACTTGCTTGTACCAGCTTGACAGGGTCGCAGTGAAGGCTGCGCGGTGGTGTGTCGGTGTTGCGACGGTGTTTATTACTACGTTTGTTATTCTGACTTTTGTATACTTCGAATGCGGTCACTTCCATTGGATTCTCTATTAGAACATTACATAAGTCATTATCAACCTACCCTTATACTTACCCCATCCACATAAATACATATAAATAACTAGCTGACCCGGCAAAATTCATACCGCCTAATATGGAAAAAAGGAAAGAGATGTTTTTAGTGTTTTCTCGGCAATTATACAGATTTTTCTCACCTCTTAAACCTTCCCTAGACCTCCACAAACATTTCAAGATCAAGATAAATCCGTTCAGCCGTTTACGAGTTTTAGCGAGACTAACAAAGAGCAATTGATTTTTATAAATATAATTAAAAATTAAAAAAAAATAACAAAACTAAAACTAGAAGAATTCAGAAACAATTTGTCAGCTAAATTCTTACCAACAGCATCAATTTCAATATCAATCTCGTTTTTTTCCTTTTTGAGTACCGCATTTAGATCTTCTTTACTTATCTTAAGTGCGCATGGTCCAAATTCTGTGACGTCACAACTTCCAGTATACATATACCTTAATATCCTCTCAAATACCTCCGGATGGACATTGTCTAGACACACTATAGGCTTATCATCTGTATTTGTGCGTGATTCCTGATACATTTTGTATAAATATTCACTACTGGATGCCACTATGAATATGTGCGCTGGGTAAAATTTATTGTTGACCTAAAATAATATCTTTTATATAAAATTTTCACAATGTTAGTGTACATACTCCTCCAAAACGGCTTGACTGATTTTATTATGGTCTAAAAATCGGCTACTGTCAATTTTTTAATCCTGGAATCGGAATCACGGGCGACAGCTAGTATATTTGACTAAGCATTCGTCTATTTGCTGTATTTTAAGTGCTCATTTTTATTTTCTTTCATATAGAGTACAAATAAGTGTTGCTTGCATTTTAAGTAAACATTAATTCAAAGAAAAATGTTCCAAATTATACATTGAAAATTAATGTTCATTGAAAGGATATATTTATTCTACAAAGAGATACCATTTTTTTTTTAATTTTAGAATAATAGTTTACTGTATTTCTTTTGATTATATTTACCTTAAATATAACATCATGTAAAATATCATCTTGAGTGGCTGTTTCCAATAGAGATGCCATATGTTTAGACATACTGGACGGAGAAAGTTCCGGGAGAGATGTCAGACCACAAGTTGGTTTGATCTTAAACAAATAATAAATATTACATTTAAAAACAAACACAAAGTAAACAATACAACTGTGGGACATACCGTGGGTTTCTGAGACTTAAATCTCTAAAAACGTATCGTCATCCCTGTCATTATCTTTGATAAAACTGAGATAACAATATGTTTTAAACGGAGATGTTGGTCTCTGAAACCCATGATAAGAAGTACCAATTAAATGCAAATATATATAATTTTTTACACATAAAACATCAAAAAACATAATAAAATGACTCAACCCTTAATTCGACGAAATTTTTTGTAGCAAAAAAACTGTTTGTTTTTAGTAAAGTCATACTTACGTAATTTTCTCTAAACTAGTTCAGTAGATTTTTTTTAATTAGTTGTATGTCACACTGGACACCATAGAATTAAGGGTTAAAATGTAACAACATTGAATACTAGAAAATTTCACTATTAAATGCTTTGTCTGTTATGTAAGAAAGAGACAGTTAGATAAACCGTAGTAAGAGAGAAAGGGATAGACATACTTACTTGCAAACAAGCGAAATTCAATCCTTCATTGTCAACTGAAATAGCCACTGCTCTATGTATATTCGGTATTTTAACAATCCTTACTGAAGTACAGTCGTCCTTTTCTAAAAACTTAACTAATGCAGATTTATTGCTGTCCTTTTCTTTCTTCATTGGTTGTTGTACTGGATTTGTTTTTCTAGATATACTACCGATATACGCTTCACCGTACTTTGTTATGAAGTACAAGGCATCATGTGTTAAGGCCACGTGGGATATTAATGTTTGATGATTCAGACCAAATACACATCTGTAATTTTATTAATAATTTATGTTTAACGTAATAATTGAGGTATTGTTTTAGTGTTTCTAGTCGTGATTATACTAAAAAAAGCGGTTAAAGATATTTCCGGTCCTTCGAGCCGGATCATTTCTGATTTTCGCTTTGAAATTCATATAAACAAACAATATAAAATCTAGAGTTATATACAAAAGTTACCGATCTAT